GGATTTTCATCATCATCACCGCACCGCCCCACACCACGCACCTTCCTCCTCCCCCCCGCGAAATGGTCAGGAAAATCCGGAGCTTCTTTACTCCTCACTCGACTGAAAGCGGGTCGGGTTAGTTACTGTTCGGTTTCAAGGAAAATGAAGCAGAAAATCGAGCAGATCAGTACCCGGAAGCTGCTCACGTACTTTCTGGTTGGGATAATTTCGGTTCTCTTGATCCTTAGTTTGTATTATGGATCTTCCTTCGCTCCTGGTTTGCGTAAATCCGATGAGGCTGCTTCTCGCCGATACGGATCGGACCCGGTGTTCGGAGGGTCTTCCAGGTATGGCTATCGAGCCGATTTGCTCAAAGACGAATCGCGCTTGCTGGAATTCCCTAAAACCATTCCGGTATGTATCGCATTGCGTTTAACTCTTCTGTTTTGTTTTCTTTTGTTGATTTCTTGTTTTTTTTTAATTTGTTATTGTGTTTACAGATTTGTGACTTAAAATATTCAGAGTTGATCCCTTGCTTGGATAGAAGCCTTAATTATCAACTCAAATTGAAGCTGAATTTGTCACTAATGGAACACTATGAGCGTCATTGTCCGCCACAGGAGCGCCGTTACAATTGCCTGATTCCGCCTCCTGTTGGTTACAAGGTTAGTCCTTGAACAAGGGTTCCTTTTAGTTTTTGTTTCAGTTAGTTGTAAAGCCAATGAAATTGGTGTTAGAGTTTCAGATACCTATAAGATGGCCGGCAAGCAGAGATGAAGTGTGGAAGGCAAACATTCCCCATACACATCTTGCAAAGGAAAAACAGGATCAGCATTGGATGGTTGTTGATGGGGATAAGATAAAATTTCCCGGTGGAGGAACCCATTTCCATGATGGAGCTGATAAGTACATTATTGGTCTAGCTCAGGTTAATTCTTTACTTTTCCTTCTCTTATTTAAGGGGATCTGTGTGTTTTACTTTTACTTTACTTATAGGTTATGTTATTTTGTATTTGTAGATGCTTAAATTTCCTGATGACAAACTCCACAATGGTGGAAATATTCGTAATGTTCTTGATGTGGGTTGTGGGGTTGCAAGTTTTGGAGCATATCTCCTTCCCCTTGATATTATAGCCATGTCTCTTGCACCTAATGATGTGCATCAGAATCAAATACAATTTGCATTAGAGAGAGGTATCCCATCAACTCTTGGTGTTTTGGGAACAAAAAGACTTCCATATCCCAGCAGATCGTTTGAACTAGCTCATTGTTCTCGATGCCGAATTGATTGGCTTCAGAGAGATGGGATTCTCCTATTGGAACTTGATAGAGTGTTGAGGCCAGGAGGATACTTTGCCTACTCTTCTCCTGAAGCCTACGAGAAAGATCCTGAAAATCTAAGGATCTGGAATGCTATGTCCAATCTGCTTAAAAGAATGTGCTGGAGGGTTGCTACAAAGAAAGGCCAAACTGTCATATGGGCAAAGCCTGTGAGCAATAGCTGTTACTCTAAGAGAGAACGTGGGACTCAACCCCCTTTGTGCAGTTCTGGTGATGACCCAGATGCAACTTGGAACGTATTGATGAAGGCATGCATTTCCCCATACTCAACAAGTATGTAACCTTCTGGATGTATATAACTATATATTTTGATACAAAATTTCATATTCCTTGTAATGTGTTATTTGTGGTGATTGATGGAAAATGCTTCTCTTCATTTCATGATTTTTGCTCTATAACTTGCTTTATTTGATAACACAGAGATGCACAAGGAAAAAGGTAGTGGACTAGTTCCTTGGCCACAGAGGCTTACTGCTGCATCTCCTCGTCTTGAAGAAATTGGTGTCAGTCCTGAGGAATTCCAGGAAGATAGTGTAAGTTCCTGAGATCAGCAAAAGTTAAAAAAAGTTTCCTTTAATGCATTTTTTATGTTTGTTACTTTATAGTATAATAGTCTTAGCTCTTGGTTGGATACTGTTGCTATGCAGAGAATTTGGCATTTTAGAGTGATTGAGTACTGGGAGCTGATGAAAAATCTTATAGAAAAGAACTTCATCAGAAATGTGATGGATATGAACTCAAATCTTGGGGGTTTTGCTGCTGCTCTTAAAGACAAAGATGTCTGGGTTATGAATGTTGCGCCAGTGAATATGTCCGCCAGGCTGAAAATTATTTATGATCGAGGCCTAATTGGGACTGTTCATGACTGGTATGCATCTTGTTTCACCTTTTTTTCTTCTAATTATAACATTGGAAAATTTGAGGGGAAACCAGAGTTGCATTTACAAATGCAACAGTGTGACTTGATCTTCACATAAGGATGCTTACTTCAAATGGCTGTTTTGTATAGATATATGCTGTAATTCTATTGCCATAGCTGTTTGTATATTTAGTTTTACTGAGTTTCATTGGTTCATTCTGAAGGTGTGAAGCGTTTTCAACATACCCACGTACTTATGATCTTCTACATGCTTGGATGGTATTTTCGGAGATTGAAGAGCGTGGGTGTAGCGCAGAGGACCTACTCATTGAAATGGACAGAATACTACGGCCGCATGGGATTGTCATTATAAGAGACAAAGCCTCTATAGTACAATACATTGAAAAACTCTTGATCGCCCTGAGGTGGGATCTTTTTATAGCACAAGTTGAACCAAGGAATGATGCTCTTTCTGCAGGTGAAGAAGGAGTGTTAGTTGTGAGAAAGAAGCTGTGGAAATGGAATGCTCCAGTTGTGACAATGTGAACCTATTTTGGTATAAGGTGAATGCTTAAGGCAAAATTATCTTTCCTCTACATCTAGACTCTAGTTTGTCAGTTGGTATGGTTCGAATATTTACATTTTCATATTTTGATTCTTTAAATTACCTGTGTCCAATTATCCATGTTGATTTTTTTTTTTCCTAACTGCGTTTTCAATTCAAAAGGAAAAGGAAACTCATATTTTTATTTCATTTGTATGTAGGTAAAACTGCACCTTTAGAAGTCAGTGCCTCCTCTGTAAGATGAAGTTTGTGGGGGGAAACTGAGACCTATTGTTGATTGCCATTTTAAGATGAAGGTTTGCTTTTACCTTCGCAGGACAAGATGATGGCACCAAAGCTTTTACGACACATTCATTCATATCGTAGAATGGGTTACTAATAAAAAACAGGCATAGATGTAGGTAGCCAAAATGAAGAAAAGGAGAAAGGAGAGTATGCATGTAATTTTGAAACTACTGAATATTGTTTTCTTTTAGACAGGCATTTCCTTCCATCCTCGGTTAGCAACAGTTGAATATTGTAAGTTAGTTAAATAATTAGGAAAGAGTTGTTTTCATTGATAAGTAATGGAATGTGCTGTTAAGAACAAAAATTAAGTAATTTAATGATAATTTTTTTCTTGTAAAATTAAGAGATTTTAAGTTTAAATGTATAATATATAGGTGAAATAAATTAAAGAATAAGTGATAGTTACTTTTTATTGTATAACTTAAAATCAAAAAAGTATATATCCAATTAAAGAATTTTTTCTCAGATGAACCAAAAATGCTTTCTAGTTTTACACTAGCTCTACTTTTTGATTCAATGCCAACATCAACGGGGAATTCAATAATAAAACAAAACAAAAGATAATGTTAGAAATCACAAAGCTACTATTATGGTAGGATTTTGCAATGGATAGACAACAAAACTTTCATGTATGTATTAAAAGTTAAAACCCTAAATTTTGCTTTGCTGAGATATTTAATAAAATTATTTTAAAAAATTAACAAAATACAAAGAAACCACAGACAAGAATTTAACATGTAGGATTCTTCCTCCCCTTCTTCCTTGAGGCAACACTGCTGGGTCCTATTTCGATGGATGGTCTCTTTGTTCTGCACAAAGAAAAAATGAGTTAAGTAATGCCTCACCAACAGAAACAATATGTATCACCATGAAGAAGAAAGGAAAGTTAAGTTCTTCCAATAATAAAGAAAAACGTAGTTAAGTACTATACCGTGTGGAAAGCTCTTCGGATTCCTTCTCACCATCTTCAACAGGACCCTCTGATGACACGAATTAAAACAATGATAGGAAAAATTCTAAAACCATACAGCTCAAAATGATTTTCCAAATGAAAAAAAAAAAAATCATGTCTGATAAAAAGAAACAAACACTTTGAACCCCATCAAATTATCAATTCCAGAGAAAATAACACAGTAGTTGTAAAAGGATATTTCAATGGTGCAAAATTACTTGGTAACTGCCTAACAGGAACAATATGAAAACAGTGAGTTTAACTAGATAAATTCACATTTAGAAGAGATCTTTCTAAAGACAGCAAGAGCTTGTAGCCAGGGCTATTCATCCACAAGCCTTGACCTTCATGAATATATATGTAGAGAGAGAGAGAGTAGGAATCCAATTACATACAAGTCTCACACACTACACTTAATAAAATTTATCTTTCTACTTTTAATAGTTGAGATTTATTTATATTTATTAAAGATAATTATCCTTTTCACCTAAAAAGTTGTGACAAATCTTAACCATTGAAAGTGGAGAGATAAATAGTTGAGATTTTGTGTAAGTGTGGTGTGTAACATATACTTCCTACAAATATAGTATTCATCATTCTTATACAATATCTAAAAATAAAATCCTATTTCTCAACCATTCTAAAAGATAACAATTGCTAACATTCAAATTAAAGTATCACAGCTCACCATGGACACTAAACATACCTGTTCCATTTTCTCCATCACTTTCCTGCTCCAACTCTGAACCATAACCTGAACCCCATCGATCACCTCCATCATCAAAGTCCCAACGTTCTCCTGCTGGAGGCATCCAGAAGTCAGCTTCTTCTGAATCACTATCCTTGTTAGAAGAATCCCTCACTTCAGGGATTATTTCTTCAACCAATTTTTCCTTCTTCTCCTTCTTACTCTTCTTCTCCTTCTTTTTCTTACTCTTCTTCACACCATCCACACCTGACTTCTTCGTGCCATCCACACCTGATTTTGGTTCTTTCTTCAGTTTCTGTTCACCTTCCTCAGCTAAATCATTTGATAAGAGTTTCTCCATTTCCTTTTGCTCTGTTCATAAGAATTCACCTTTCAGAAATGACAGACACATAAATCCAAGCTAAAGTCATTAAACAGCACGTTGGCACAAAGAAATTGCAAACGTGTTATGAGCCAATGAACTTAAGATCAACAATTCAACGCAAACCTAATTTGTTAAGAAACCTTCTCCCATTGATATGCTTCCAAATGTGTTCCTCCGACTTATTGACGGTATCACCAGTCAGCTTACACACCAACTTCGAACTGAATAAATAAAAACGAATCACAAAAACCAGTATTGCTTCTTCTATTAACATTTCTCTATTAGTCCAACAATCAATTTTTTTTCATTTAAAAAAAATTGCACATCCCTATGGCTTCCACTGGGAAGAACCCTAAACTCCATTGATGGAATTGTTAAAGAAAGTGGGAAGCTTGAAATTACCGGCAAGTAGGGTGTTGCTTGAACATGTTGAGAGGGGGTTTCTTGTTGGCCAGAGCGAAGTCAATGAGGCCCAGACGGCAGCGTTTGCTCTGCGAATAGGAATCCTTGTCCTTCTGTAGCATCTCGTGGCCAGTCTCAACGCACTTTAGCCTGCCATTTTGGAGCTCCGTGAAGGTAGGTGAACCCAGAAGATTGCTCCCTTCTTTGCCGTCCGCCTTCTTCTCTCCATTCGCCTCCATTGCTGCTGGGCCACTGCGTCGTCCACTTCTTTCATAACTCCAATCACTTGCATAACGCGTGTGCCCAAATACGACATCGTTCCAAGGAATGTCCCAAATACGACGTCGTTCCAAGGACACTAGATCATCAGATTCGATTTTCTTGAACGGCCACTCAATTTTTCACTTCTAACCACTTTAGTCACTGATTTTTAAAATTCTTACGAATTACATAGTCATACAGAGATTTTTTCCTTTGGAAGTAAGGAGGAAGAATAAGTTACAATTGAGCTATAGAGTGGGTGTCAATGCTCAAAATGTTTACTCATATTTAGAACAAATCTTTCTGTTTCTAATATGAATCACCATAATCTTTGATTACACCATAGAAAATATCTAAAGACCAAATCAGAGTCAGTCATAGACAGAGTTTTCTTTTTCTAAGTGGGGGGTGGGGGGACAGACTACTCTAGTGTGGCCAGTTTTTCCTCATCAACCTCAAATGCCTTCCTGGCTTGTTTCAGCTCTTCTTGCATTGATAGCAATTCTGTACAACGGTTAAGTTTGGGCAGGTCCTGCAGTTTTATAGAATTTATCAAAGTCAGTGCAAGACTAGAAACAAGCTTAGACTAAACTCAAATAATGCTTTAAGAAGGTTTGATGCCAAGAAAAATATGCTTGTCAACAGCTTCTACACATGGGAGTGAGGCAACAAACTAGAGTAATATTACAGAATTTGAATCTCATTTTCTAGAACAAAATTCCCAATGGAAGTGATTTAAAGCAAATATACCGAACAGAGTAGGAATTGAAGATACCTTGCGGATTAGATACAGAAAATCCTCAACAGAGAGCTTTCCTCTCTTTGCTCCAATATCTTGAGCTTTATGTGCCTGCATGAAAGTGGAAGCTTGAACACATTACCTAACATTCAGTTTAAATAATGAGAGATATCAGCAAATCAAAGAAAACTTACCAAATCTGTTACATACTCCACAACAATGTCCTCAACAAGGGACACAGTCTCTGGAAGTGGCTGAAAGGAACAAATGAAAATCAGTCACATAGACCAAAGTGAGGACTTACTACATCATAAGTCACAAAAATATCAATAATCAGAATTCCAGCAAAATATATGGGAACTGGTACAACGCATCATATCTGGTATTGGCATATTGCAGCACAGAGGAATATGAAATGGAAAGAAACTGAGGGATTTCCGCCAATGGAGCATACATACTGTCACAGTTTTATTATCCATGTGTGCGTCATAATTCTATCATATATCAAACACATCCCAACCTAGCGTGTATTTCACATGCTTCTTTATGGTGCTTACAAAAGGTTATAGTCATGGATCATTTGGCTGAATTTGTGTGTGTTTCCTTCTACTTTATGCTCCTCTCCAGAGCTAATAATAATAGACTAGTAGGGTATGGATGTCTCTATGCTAGTTTCTCTAAATATTCCTACCAACTGTAATAATTGCAGTACTCCATGAGATAATCTATGAACAAGTCCTGTATGTATGTGAGCAGTGTTCCTTTATACTCCTTTCAAAAGGTAAAATCATAGACCAGCTGCATGCACGCAAATGTTGTCCTTTAAAGGCAGTAATGAAGGAATAGTTCCGTGTGTGACAATTTGTATTAGGGGAGGGGGAGTACACTCTTTTATGCTTCATTCCTAAATAGTAACAATCATGGACCAGCTGTGTTTTAAAGAAGTCCCTTTTACCAAAATTAGTGTGTTCTGGATGCAATATCCAGTAAAACCGTTCTGGGGTTTTGCCAAAAGATGTAAAAATGCAAACTACTTCCATCAAAATATGAACATATCAAGATAGGAATTTCAAGTAAAAACGACTTCTTTTTTTCCATATAGAGAATAGGCAAAAGTGCAAACGTAATTGAACAAAGGACAAATTTTAGCTATCAAAAATATGAAAAATATGAAATCTCTTGAGCTAGGAAGGTCCATTGGATGGACCCTATCAAAACAGCAACTTGTTTGCATTAGGCTTAGCTTGAAACAGAGCACAAAACAGAAAACGTAATCATGCTTTTCTGTCATTGGAAAGTAGCAGATTTTTAGGCAGACCCATCTCAGAAGATAACTGTTAATGCAACAATCCAAGACCCAATATGATATTATCTCATTACATTATGAAAACTCAATAGCAGAACAAGAAGGGAAATTTATTTCTATTAATTCCAGAGTTCTTCTAAATTCTTGAAATTGCAAGAGAAAAAGAAAAAAGAAGAGGGGTTTTCGATTCCAAATCCCTGGGGATGAAGAGTAATCTCAAATTGTGCAATACGAAAACAAAATTGAATTCAACTAAGAATTCCCAACGATACTTACATTGGAATCGTCTCCAAAACCGTACATCATGTGCTGCACTGTAGAATCAAAGAAAAAAACAACAGAATGAGAATTTCTAACTTGCACGAAAGCATACGCAATATAAGCGTTTATAGTAGCGAGTTATGCTTACAATCTTTCTGAAAAACTCCCCGCTTGCGCTTGAAAGAAGTCTCGGAGGGCTGTGAGGTCCCCGCTTTGGACTTTGAGGAGGTCCCCGCCGAAGGGTTGCTCATCTTCTATCTAAGCCGCGTTCAACTTCTAGGTCTACACTCCCGCAACAAGCCTTCAACAAGTTTCCTAATTTCTCTCAACTGGGTACGCCGGCGAAAGGTCAGATGTCGTAGATGCCGGAATTTCGGTTCAGAGGCAGAGCAAATCGACCGCCGAGGGAAAGCTGAGAGATCTGTTCTTCGTATCAAAAGTTAAAAACAGGAAAAGGTTTGTCTTGATTTTTATTTTCCTGTTTGGACCTCTATTGAGCCGAGCCCAAGTTTGTTTGGATTACAAAAAAGCCCATTAGACCAATATTAAGGCCGTTTGTTTGAACCTAATTTACATTCTTCACCAATGTTAGAGTTGCAATAATATTTAAAATTATAAGTTTACAACCATAACACATTATTAAATTAATAAATATATATTACAATAAATAAATCATGAATGAAAAGAGTTAATAATGTAATGTAACTTTGTAATTTCACATGAAATTAAAATTATATCATTTTCTTATGTTCTCCCCTCAATTTTCAAGTTTTAAATAGAAGCAAAAATGAAGTATAATTTTCTCAAAATGTAATCTAATTTTTATAACTTCTTCATTAGTTAGCAGAGAAAATGTACAAATAAAGATGTCAACTTTGTATATATTTTTTATTTAAAAATGTTAACTGTTGTTAATTTTTAAATAATGATGTTAATTTTTAATTTTTTTATTTAAAAATATTAGTTTTTATTTTTTTCTATTTAAGGATCCCAATTTTCAACATTTCAATTAGAAAATCTATTTGCTATGTTAGCATTATTATTCAATTAATCCATAAATAGAAAAATTTTTAAGTTCATATCTTTAAATAAAAATTTTTAAAAGTTAATATTCTTATATTAAAAAAATTAAAAATTAATATTTTTATTTAAAAAGTAACAAAATTAACATCAGGGGTATATTTTCTTAAATAGAAAAAAAAACAAAATTAATATATTTATTTACACATATACATGGCAGAATCCTCAAATTTACCATAAAAAAATATCGATAGGGACACATTTATCCTTAAAAAAAAAATAGCGATAAAGTATCCTTTCAAATCATAAATCAATACAAATCACCCATTTTTCAATGTTTTCCGTTAAAAAATGTTGACGTGGCAAACAAAATTCTGACGCTTTTCGTTGAAAAAGAGGTGATTTGTATTGATTTATGATTTGAAAGGGCAATTTATCCCTACTTTTTTTTGAAGAATGGATGTATCCCTACCAATATTTTTTTGAAGGTGAATTTGAGGATCTTACCACGTAGATTTTCTCAAATTTTACACACTATGCGATTTTGGTCAAAACATATCCAGAAAAAGCGTGCACTCATTAGCTGGCTCTAAGTATAAACTTACCCCTAAAGCAAGATGAGATCAATAATTGAGCTCTTTTTTTTTTCTTTTTTCTTTTTTTCAATTTTTGTTTGTTTGTTAACACTAGGAGTAGCCCCATACCCAATCTAATTTAAAATTCCAACTATATTACACATAAATTGCAGAATGCATCACATTGTTCTTAAATAATTTGGACTAAACTAACACAATGATTCTTCCTGGATTCTTAAGATTTTCCATTCAATGATTCGCATGGTTTTCATTTTAACATTGGTCTTAAAAAAAAAAAAAAAATCTTTTAAATGACATTTTATAGCAGTGAAAATCAAAGATAGTAGGAGACCAGAAGGCACATGACTTGATTCCCATATATATTCTTTTTTCTCTGCATATATGGGAATGGATATCTGCACTTTCTTCTACAGGCAACACAGTAATCATTTTTGAAAATTGTAATTTCACGTGCAATGGAGGAGAAGAACTATAAAGTTTTTGTTGCTGCTATTGCTTTAGTTCTGTCCATTTTGAGGGTCCAGAGTGTGGAGGAGGTGAAGAAACTGCCATCCTGCAATTTCAAAGCAATATACAACTTCGGGGATTCAAACTCAGACACTGGTAGTGGCTTTGCAGCATTTTATCCTGCAGGGCCTCCTTGTGGGGAGACTTACTTCCACAGGCCATCAGGGAGAGGTTCTGACGGGCGTCTCATAATAGATTTCATTGGTATGGTGAAGTACATTAGTTCTGGTTACTCTTCATTAAGTTATGTAGGGAATTTATTTGTATTTTTTTTTTCCCTCTGTGAGTGAAGCTGAACATCTTGGATTGCCGTACCTGAGTGGTTACTTGGATTCCATTGGGACAAACTTCCGGCATGGTGCTAATTTTGCCACCGGGGGAGCAACCATTAGGCCACAGAATGAAGCCTATTCTTCTACTGGAGTAAGTCCATTTTCCCTTGATATCCAGGTTGTGCAGTTTGATCAATTCAAGGCACGAAGCAGCTACTTCTACAATCAAGGTTATTCTCAAAGTTATACCATAGCTAGTTGGACTTTTCTGAGTTTTTTTTCCTCTCCCATATTCATGAAACCGTATGTCTGTCTTTGATTTACAGCAGCAAAGTGGAGGAGAAATCTTCCTAGACCAGAGGACTTCTCCAGTGCTCTCTATGTGTTTGATATTGGCATGAATGACATTGCAGCTGGTTTTAGGAAGATGAATGACACAGAGCGGCGTGAATCGATCCCTGACATAGTTGACCAGCTAGCTAAAGCAGTTCAGGTAAGTTAAAATTTCAGACACCCTCTTAAACCGAGTCTGTCAGACATGTTTCTGACATGTTCAAAACTTGAACCAAAAAAATATTGTATCTTGTAGCATCTCTATGAAGGAGGAGCCAGAACATTTTGGATACACAATACAGGTCCATATGGGTGCTTGGCTATAACCCTTCGCTATCATCTTGATCCCAGCGAAGTCGACAAGCAGGGCTGTGTCAAAGTTCAGAATGACATGGCTATAGAGTTCAACAGGCAGCTCAAGAAAAAAGTGATCAAACTGAGGACAGAACTGGCAAATGCTTCAGTAACATATGTGGATATTTATTCTGCAAAGTATCAAATGATTGGAAATGCAAAACAAGAAGGCAAGTCCTTAATTGAGATCTTTAAGACCCTTAAGTCTATCAATTTAATGTTTTTGTTTACCCCCCCTTGTTAGGATTTGTTGATGCAAAAGGAATTTGCTGTGGGTTTCATGAGGATGACATCCATGTGTATTGTGGGCACAAAGAGAACCTAAATGGAACTGAGATATATGCCGGTTCTTGTAAAGATCCTTCAAAGTATATTAGCTGGGATGGAGTGCACTATTCTGAGGCTGCCAACCATTGGGTTGCTACTAGGATACTCAATGGTTCATTCAACGATCCACCTCTCCCAATCACACACGCATGTCGTGCCTCGTTTTGACTCTCGAGGGAAACTTCTTTACTTGTTTGATAATGACACATAACAAGTGAAATAATGGTGTAAATGCTTAAGCAAGGTTACCCCAATTGTTATAATCAATAAATCTTCTTTTTGAGAGAGTTTCTTCCCTTTCACTCCTTGCGGGGAGATTTTCTTCCATGGGTATATTTGTTTAATTTGTTCATTAAATTATAAGGCAACTTGTGTGAGCTTTTGCCAGCGTGAATGTGACGCTGAGCATGTTGGATTGCCCCACGTGGGTGCATATCTAAAACAAACTTCCAGTATGGTGCTAATTTTACCACCCAGCATCCAAAGATTAGGCCATGGAGTACATGCTGGTTTGCAAGTGGAGTAATAAGTCCATTTTCCGCCTTGGTATACATATTGTGCAGTGTGATCAATTCAAGAGAAGTTACAGACAAGCAAATCGGTCTCCCAAGCTAAACGGGAGGACTCCTCCAAGGCTCTCTACTTGTTCGACATTGGTGCTTTTCTTGTAAAGTAGAATAGCGCAGTATTTCACAAGTTAGTTCCTAAGTTGAGCAGCAAGCTTAAATCAATTCAGCTAGCTAAAACTTATACACAACTTATAAACATATTTCATTGCCGGTGCCCTTCTGGCAGGGCAACCACCTTATGGAAGGGCACTGTCCTCTGAGGCAAGGCTCCATCTTCCTCGTCATCATCAAATTCCAATAGATACCTGCACAAGCAAAACGTGATTATGCACAATATCCTAGCAGCCATATCCTACACTCAAGGCATTTGGAATAAAAATGAGCAAAGAATCCAAACAGACAACAGCGCGTAGTTTATACTTGGGAACCTTTCGCTGGCAGCATGATATACAATCTATCATGTCATGTTTTTAGTTTAATCAAATTGTGGTGATCAATTAATGTGCATCCAGTCAAGAATGCCAAGGAGAGTAAAACATGGAAATGCAGCTTTAGTTGTGTAGTTTCCTATTCAGCAAAACCAGGGGTGGAAAGGAGGACAAACTTACTCATCTGACTTTCTCTGGAAACATACAGAATGAACAGCAGCGAACCCCATGCATGCACAATACAATTTGTAGTCAGTTGTCTTAACAAAAGTATTCAACAAATTTGAGTAGTGATTATGTGGATGAATGAAAGCTACGGAAAAATGTACTGTAAGAACATTTTGGGTGTAAGTTCATCCACATGGATTAATGAAAAAGTCACCTTTCGAGGTGTACTAATCACAGTTGCCTTATAGAGTGCAGTTGTTCCCGGATAAACAGCCAAAACATGTCTTCCAGGGAGGAATTCTGGGACACTGGCAGGATCATTTCTCTTGGGAAAAGGTATAATACAGGACATAGGCAGCTTGTACTTTCTGAAAGTCACAATAACGCAAGTTAACATCATTGAGATGGAAAAACCTCCACTCAGGAACCATATGTGCCAACAAGTAAACAAAACCAACAAAAGCGGAAAAATTAGGACTGGAAGGGTATCAATGCACAAAATTTACCTTTGCCCACCACCCTCTTCATCATCACCTGGCTCCTCGTCAAGTACTTCAAATCTGCACACAGAGATGCATCTCAAGAACAAGAATAAAGAACATTCTGAATAAAAATTGTCTCTTGTACATACGCTTTGATTTGTTCCAGCACAATCTACTAAGTGCTAGAAAGTAACTCCCAAAGGATGGAAACTGGGTAGAAATCAAATTGCTTAAGAGCACCTGGTGGTGGCACCAAAACAAGATGATTAAGGTTTTTCATTTCATTCACAAGCTAAAGCTTTTTCACCTGTGGCTTCTTTTCTTTTTCTTAACAAACCAAACCATTTTACTTTATAATTCTATTGTTTGGTTATAATGCTTTAAGGTTCAGTTGGGGGTGGTGGCATTCATGCCAATATATACTCTATAATTATATTTGGCTATAATGCACCTTAAATATAACAAGCTTTTCTTATAAGAAGTATCCTTACTCCTTTGTTTCCCTATCAAAATGTATCACTTTCACCACAAACCATTCATCCTTTTCAGCATTCTCTGCTGTGACCCTTGCAGCAACCTGAAAATAACAGCAAATTTTCAATCCCCTTAGCATGGAAGCATGGTCTAACTGCATGGTTCATTATTCAAGCAGAGACAGCAGAAATTCACAGAAGGCAACAAATATTTTTGTCGACAAATATGACAACAACCCACTCCATAAAACCACATGCAGACAATGTTTTCCACACTTATAACTATATGATCTACCTGTTCACCCTTTAGACCGGTACAGGCTTCAACTTGACTTCGAATAGAAGGAGATAGCCGGGAGATATCTGAATCAGTCTTCATTCTTTTTCTTTTCTGATCATTACCTTCTGCAACTTATCTAATGTCAGCTTCAGGTGTAAGCAGTTAGAAGAATTTTAGATGACAATACTAGCACCTTGCTGAGACTACTACCAAGGATGCATTTTAGGTTGAGCCTTACATGTCCAGTTATAAGTATACATATTTAATAATTTCACTATGTGCATAGCCTCTCATATATACATTAAATGGAATTGATGTCCAGGTTGGAAATATCCAGCATAATGTCATGCAGTCCACGGATAAAGGCATGTACCTGATTTTCTTCGTTGCTGCCCTGGAGGTCCAGATGGCAGCAAAGCATCAAGTTGACTGAGTAACATGTTTGAGGTACTGCAAATTGAGAAACAAAAAGTTAAGACAAACTAAAGAGTGAACTATCAAGAGTTCAAGACCCATAGCCCCAACAGAAATGTGCCTCAACATTCTAGACCAAGGATTTAAGGAGAAAAGGACGAAGCCCTAACTTTAAAGCCAACTTTTTAACCAACATAGCAGTAAAAGAAAAGGAGGACAGAGAAATATCAGGCATAATTGTACCTTACTTCACTTTCTGAGAGTTCTTTGGCCTGAATATATAGATTTTTCAGCTTAGATAATGAAGCATCCGCAGGTTTCTCAACTACTTCAGGAGCTGTGTTATCATGCAGGAGGTCAAGATTAATACAAACCACAAGCAGCAATCACGTGAGTTCATTGGCCACAAAAACAAAACCATCCTCCTCATACCAAGAGGATAAAATTTGCAAAATGAAAACTGCATCTTATGCAAGATAACCCTCCACGGTCCAAAGCTTTGTGCCGAATGATTCATACAGGCAACTTCTTACTAATATTTATTTTTTTTTTAAAAAAAATTTGAAACTTATTTTTTTTTTTCCTTTCCCATTTTTTTTTCCTTTTTTTTTTTTTGTTATTTAAATTCCAAATCAGTCAGGGCTAATTTCGGATGAGGAAATCCAAAGTTGTAACTTTTAGACAAACACCTGCTATTTATTTTATTCATTTTCTTATCTTGTTTTTAAACTAAATATGCTGGATAAGGATAACATAAGAACAGTAGCATGCATCTAAATGTTAAGTTTCCATTTTTTATGCCATAAGCCATGTACAGAATTCACAACCTGTTTGCCTCTGTTCATGTACCAGTTTCAGTGATAAAATGCTTTTAGCAACATCATTCTTCTTCCTTTCTTTTCAGAGCACTCAACACTATCGAAGCATCTTACATAAGAATCCATGAGATGCATTAACATTATCAATAAGTGGCACTAACCACTCTAAATATGGAATTCCAAGCATATGTATACAACAAAGTTAGAATCGATGTATCTGCTTGGGAAACATAAAGTTTCCTTTTCAGTGAGAAAAAAAAAAAAAAAAATTCCCTTAACCAAAAGTTCCAGCTAATGATCATTTGGCAACCATAAATGCATAATCATGCCAGAAAACATCAAACATCTAATGTCAGCTTCAGAGACAGATTTTAGATCATAAACTCAACTGACTCTAGACCATTTAATGGAAACACACTATTTTACCCTTTTTTTTTATGAATTTATTTAGTATTCATTAACCTGTGTACCAGAAAATCCACACCCATGAAGCATACCTCGAATTTAAGCAAATTCAAAGCAAACCCACCTCAAAAAGACAAGACTTTTGAGCACACAAAACTCCAAAAACATCACCATCACTTTCAAACAAATCAATCTTTTAGGGTAATAAAAAATTAACAAACTGCTGACCAAGAAAAAAAAAATTAACAAAAGGATCTTCAAAAATAGCAGAAAATCACAGGATAATGTCATCACACGCAACAAAATACAAAGACTTACTAGCCAGTAGCTTCTTATGCATCTTGTTGATCTCCAAAAGCACATCTTCCTGTTCTTTCCTTAACCGATCGAGCTCCCTGCAGTTGTCCAGGATTCCAGGGATGTCCGGCGAAGACATCATTGAAAACAGCAAAAAAATGAGGGCAATGTTGCTCCTGCACGATTACTGCGAGCTCCTGGTTTGCTTCAATCCATGTCTGATCGTAGCCATTTTCCCGTAGGAATTCGACATAAAAAACAACTGAACCAAAAAAAAAAAAAAAAGAAGCACCTTTTTAACTTTCACAAGGCGACGCAGCTTGCCACAAACTGTAAATGAGGTCCATCCTGTTTTGCAATATGTTAATGTTATTCTTCTAAATAGGTAGGATATGATAATTCAGAATGTCATATTTTACTTTCAGCCTACTAGAATCATGAACATTAAATCCTATAATAATATAAAAAGTCCTCAATTCCTGAAAATATTCAACAGAGGCAGCAACACTAAGGATACACATAGAAACCCTGTGTAACTCACACAACATGAGACATAGAATCTGCTTTTACTAAAACATACAATAATAACTACTGTGTAAATCTTTACTCCCTTTTGAACAAGTGAAGCGTTTTCTAAAGAATGCATTACCATTATAAAAAGAATCATACGTGCTACAATGTTATGTCCACTCATCAGTTGCTAGGTATCAATTGCGCAGCCTCACTACATTCCCCAAATAAATTTCTTAGCAAGAAACACAATTTTATTAACTGACATCTTATTTCATTCCCCTGAATAACTGTTAGTCTGCTACTGCTACAGATCTAAAATATTCCAAAATACTGCCTCCAGTATAATTAAGAGTAAGGGTAATGCAAAACTTAAAACCCTCAAACATCAATGAAGAATATATATCCAACCATGTATCAGGTAACCAAAATAAAAACCACTTACCTTTGGGCTTGTTCACCAAAACAACAGTCCCATTTGGACCATCCCATGTTGGGGGAAGTGCAGTACTCCTAGCCACGAGGTAAGGCTCCACAGCACCAACCTCAGCATCCGTATTGTGAACTTTCTTCAAGCACTTGAAGAAATCCTCCACCTTCTTCTCTGTAACAGCACCGTTCACATCTTTCCCAGGGTTCACTCCTCTCTCCTTCTTCTCCTCTTCAAAGAAAGTCAATCCTTTACTCTCCTCCTCGTCATCGCTAACTCCATCTTTTTTCTCCCCCTTTCTGCCACTACCCATTTTCTTGCTTCTTCCTTTCACTTTGCTCTTCACATTTGATTCTCCAGGTTCAAGAAAAGCCTTATCCAAACACTGATCAGGAAAATACTTCTTCTCCAATTGATACACCATCTTATAGTGCTTGTCTTTCTCCCACGGATACGCAAATGTATCATAAAAATAAAGCTCCTCCTCTCTCTGATGCAGCCTGTCAAACTCCACCACTTCCGGCTTCAGTTCCACAAACCCATCTTCATTCTTTCGACCATCCTCATCAGAATCCGACCCATACATTCTCTTCCTTCTCTTCCTATAATACTTCCTCTTAGACTTATCCATCTCCAACCCACTTGGCAAATTCGTTCCTTCATCCAAAGACAGCTTTTTGTCCACCCAAGAATCAAAATCCATTTCCGGTTCATGGTACAGAGCCTCTGGTGATTCTTGCTCGGGTGAGTTCTCGGAATCCAGCCTGCTGAGCCGTCGGCGAGTCCGGGAGGACTGGGATTGAGTTGGGCGGTTGATTATCATGTCGTATTGGAGAGGATATGGGGTGGATGTGGTGGAGAAAAACAGGGAACAGGATGAAATCGAGAAGCTGGGTCTCTTGAGGTTTCTGGGTGTGACGCTTACTCGTAACAACGAGCGCATTGCTCCTGAAGAAGCCATGACTTTCGGACATTGAAAGAGAAGCAAAATGGTGGAGATAGATAATGATTTAGCCATTGTTGTCTGATTGTCACTGTAACCTGTTCTTCCTGCCAGCAAAATCTAAAATCAGGGTTTAGCATTTGACATAAATTTTGTTGATGGTCCCTAATCTTTCTACATTTAGATCTCTCAAACCAATTTTTTTAACTAATAAAAGTCCGCCTCCCAACTTTTGATTATTAACCTTTTTTTTCTTTTTCTTTCAAGTATATGGAATGATAGTGTTTTAGACTTTTAGTAGTGAATTGATTATAAAATATTAATAATCAATTATTAAGATTAAATTTAAACTTTTGCAAATATTATGTAATTAATCTTTTACTAAAAGATTGATATAATATGTATTTAATTTGTGTCTTTAAGTATATAATAAATACATATTGTCATTATAAATTTATATTAGAAAAATAAAAATTAGTTTTTAATTTATTAATTATTCAATTAAATTCATCTACTTAACATTAATATTAAAATTAATGTCCATTTTTATATTTTTTCTATATATATTTATGACAAAAATGTACCATTAACTTATATTATAAGCATACTCATTTTTGGCTTATGAATATGAAAAACTCCTCAAAATGGCTATTTATTCTCTTTTATATTTCCAATACATTAAATCTATTCTTATTAACTTTAAAATTTTCCATATAATAATGAAAGAAGAAAAGGTGAAGAGAAGGCGAAAGAGTAGATGGAATTGGAGTTTTATGCTAGAAGAGAAATGGTGAAGAAAAGGGATAAGGTGGTATTTTTATTTTATTTAACACTAAATTTAAAGATAATTAATTACTCTCTTTGTTTACTTTATTAGACATTCTAGGGAAGGATTTTTATTCCATTTTATCTAACATTTTTAGTATATCAATATTCCGGTAATTTTTTTCCCACTTCTCTACCTTTGAACCACCCAAAGTATGTTAAAGGCTTAAAGTCTTTTAGACTTCCCTCTGTTTCGTCTCCTTGCTTGAAAAATTTTTCAATGCATAATCAACAAAGATTAAAAGAGAAAAAAAAAACCAAAATAATCCAGCATGGGAACCAATAAAAAATTCTAACCCTCAAGCTCCCATTTAAAAAGCATATTTCATTGCAAAAACCACTTATTAAAGAAACTTCAAACGCTAATCACCACTCAGAAAAATTGAATATAGAAACACCACAATAACAAAGTTAGTTCAATCAAAACCCTTGAACTTCAAATAGAAATGCCACCACCAAAAAGAAGATCA